CAAACCAAACCAAACAAAAAAATCTCCAAACAAACAACAAAAAAAGAGCACCAGCAGCTCTTCCAAAGGACCCCAATTCAATTCCCAGCCCCCACATGGCAGCTCACAGGTGTCTGTAACTCAAGTCCCAGAGGATCTAAAGCCTTCTTGGGGCATCTGTGAGCAAGCATACAGTGTACAGACATGCATGCTGGCAAAACCCCATACACATAAAAATTAAAATAAACTTCAGTGTCAGGCTGTTAGCATTCACCTTTTTGCAAATGGGGAAACTGAGAGAAAGAGATGGAGCAGGACTTGGGGGCTGATCTCTGGTCTGTGGTGTCCACGTTCTGGGGTGTTTCCTTTTCCCCTCCAGCTGCTCTTGCGGAGTAGAATAGCGGCTGTTACGGAGGCATTCACAGTGCTGAGGCCTGTGGCATCTGTTGCAGGCTGTTGATGGAGAAGTGGGCGGATGACAGCCGGGACTGTGGTCATCACTGGGGGCATCTTGGCAACTGTGATTCTGCTCTGCATCATCGCAGTTCTGTGCTACTGTCGTCTCCAGGTACTCCAAGGGGATGGGGAGGGAGACCTGGTTGGGTTGCAACCTGAAGGGTGGCTCTGCAGGGGGAGCCTCCAAGAAGACAGTCAGATTTCAGGGGAGATGCCCAGCGACGGGGCTGGGGTATTTCTATGCAGTTCCTTGGCCAGCTGCCCAAGTCACTCAAGGCTTTTGCTGAGGCTCAGAGAGTCGAGGACTTGGCTAGTGGCACACAGCTACCCTTCAGGAGAGCAGAAGTGAAGAGTATGCTGCCTTGTGTATCCTTCCCTTCCTGAGCTTTTAGAGGCTTCTCGGGCTCCTTGTCTTCCTGAGAGGAGGGAGCACCCGTGTCCAAGGCACACCTGGTGCCTATGACTCAACTCTAGGATCTGAAATGGCTTACCCATCTCTGCCACTTTCAGGTTTCTTACCCAACTATGCTGCAGTTTACCTGCCTGCAAATTGGAAATTAGACTTATATCTAGCTGTGTGGATGAGATAGATAAGTGACATCGCAGGGACCTCAGCCCGGAATGAGCTGGAGTAGATGCTGGGTGGTGGTGGAACAGGTGGAGGTGACTGAGTAGGGCCACCCCATAATCTTGAGGGCTACACTGGTCAACACTGGTGGGAAGTGCACCGTGGTCACCTGGCCTCTACCCACAGTATTACTGCTGCAAGAAGGACGAATCCGAGGAGGACGAGGAGGAGCCTGACTTCGCTGTGCACTCACACCTGCCACCCCTGCATTCCAACCGCAACCTTGTGTTGACCAACGGGCCTGCTCTCTACCCGGCTGCCACCACCTCTTTCAGCCAGAAGTCCCCACAGGCCCGAGCCCTCTGCCGCAGCTGTTCCCACTACCTGCTGCCCACCTTCTTCCTGCAGGAGCCTTCTTCCTGCAGGAGCCAGAGGACGACGACTTTGAGGCTGTTCGCAACGGTGGGGGCCGAGTGGCCTACAAAAGCATCAGCCAGGAGGATGTGGAGCTGCCCCCAGCGACCTTTGGGGGCCTACAGGCACTCAACCCCAACCGCCTCTCTGCCATGCGTGAGGCCTTTTCCAGAAGCCGCAGCGTGAGCACCGACGTGTGACAGGCCTCCATACTGCCTAGGCATCCAGCCCTGGAAGGTCTTGAGATCATGGCAGGATCCCCATGGCACCGCCTGGCCCCATGCCCAGACCTGTGCTCAGCCACATCTTCCCTGTATCTCTGTCTTAGGGGCTGTAGGCACGGGGAACCTCTGGGCCCTCTATAAGGATAAAGCCCAATGAACCAGGTGTGGCAGCTGTGGGTAGGGACAGCTGGCACAAGAAGGGAGGCAGGGGTCAGGAGGGTAAGGCAAGGCTGTGTTGGGGCACGGGGACCAGGTCCTGATTCCAGGGAGTAAGAAGATGGCTAATGTGAACCCCAGCAACTTCTCTGTCTCTGGCTTCATGGCCTTAGCCTGTCACTCCCCCACCAGGCCTTAGGCTACGTTCCTGCTCAAGGGAACAGTGGCCTCACTGCCTACCAGTGGCCCTACAAGCATGAATCTTCCTTAGAGACCATGGACCAAATAAATACTCTGTCCCTTCATCCCGTCTCTCCTTTCCCATCTGTCTCCTTGCCCTCTCTCCATTCCTTCTCCCAGCCTCTTGGTCTCATAATCCTGAACCTTGTGACCAGCATCCTCCCCAAGCTTGAAATACTCATTACTCTGGCCTCCCTGAAGATGACCAAGTCTCCCTGTAGAAGGGAGAGTTTAGGAGACAACAGTGTCCTGGGACGCTTGCTCTACCCCGATCTGCTTTTTGATGAGGGAAGAGACATAGGCATTGGGGATACTACTCTGGGAGGGTTGACACTAAGATTTACACACCCAGTACTTACCCTAAACCTAGTCAACTGACGGACACTTGCAGCCAAATTTATACACCCAGTACTTACCCTAAACCTAGTCAACTGACGGACACTTGCAGCCAGGTTGCTGATGCACTGGAGGTGGCCTAGCTATGCACTAGGGATCTCAGGTGTGACTCTTGGGCAGACCATCCTTCCATGGTTTGCATCCCCATACATGTAGTGTGTGGGGAAGTGGCTGCAGAAAGCCCTTTGAACTCTGGTCCTCACTGGGAACTAAGGTCCCTGGGGCAAGCTGAGCTGTAGATCATCCACTTGTTTTCTGCTTGGAATGAGGCCCCAGGCCCAGCTAGTCATAGCTGGCTGCCCCGTGTGGAAGCCTCATCTCTACCCATGCTGCTCCAAGCCCTCCACTAGTTGAGGAATTAGTGTCAGGTGACCACCCCTTGAAGGTGCCCCAAGCCCAGGACCCCAGCCATCAGGAGTGCAGTTCTCTGCTCTGAAAGAGGCACCATTTTTGGCAGCATAGCCTCAAGAACCCTTCCCCCTTGGAGCCCTATTTTATCCCCAAGTCCGGCAGTGGAGCCCAAGGGGAGCAAGTGCCCCCCCACCCCGTGAAGGTGCCTTTCTATAGGACAGTGGCCACTCCTGAGCCAGATGCTGCAGCAGGGCCCGCCACACTTACTACAGGCAGCTGAACCATGCTAGTGAGGACCTGCTGTCATTGGCGTTCAGAATTTTTGTCTCCTTTTCTTTTTCCTGCCTCAGTTTGATCTTGCTAACAGAGTTCAACCTTAGAATCACAGAAGTCCCCAACCTACCCCTTTCCCCTCTACTTCCCCTGACCCATTCTACCCCATGACATCTGTCCCTTGCATCACTTGTGGTGTGGGTAAGGTAGGGAAGGGTGCTCTGGACTGTTCTGGTTTTGTTCCCTATCCCTCCCCCTGCCTTTTAAACCTCCGTGACTGTATAGATCCATAAACATCTTCTAAGTGAATTAAGCATCTATCCCAACCAGCTCACTCAACACCACCATGGGACCTTCCAGGGACCCACCCAGCACCTTGAAAAATGCAAAAGCCAATAAATTTGTTTCCCACACCATGGCACTAGGCTGCTTGTCTGTCCATCCACTGGGTACCTTCTCTGGAACGAGACGGAGTCCACCTTCCCAGTCCAGCTGATGGCTCCAGCTCTACCCGGAGGGGCTCTAACAACTTCCAGGCAAAGGGGGTATCATGACAAGCTACCCTTGTTTTCCAGTGCCCCGGTGGCTTTCAAGTTCGTTGTTAGCCAATCTGAAGAGCAGATTGAATATGATGGGCTATGTTTCTTGAGGACAAGTGGCTGACTGTCCTTGAGCTGGCATCACATAGTGGGGCACTCACGCTACCCACTTCAAAAAACAAAGATGAAACTATCCAGTGCTGGTGGTATACCTGACACAGCCTGGCATAGTTAGGTACACAATAAAGGCCAACAGAAAGCAGTGTGGGATGAGGTAGAGAGGGAGAAAATTTGGGGGAAGGAGCCCGGTAGAGAGGTAATGATGGGACTCAGGTGTGGCAGAGGCCCCAGCCCCCAAGACACAAGGAAACTGCTCTGTTTGAGCCCAGCTGGTGACCTGAAGAACAATTATCTCCCAAACTGCTAACTTCTGGATTTGGGGGACAAAAAACAAAATCTGTAGGAGCAGCTGTCTTGATTCAGTCCCTGTGGTAGGCACCTAGAGAAGCAATAACACACTGGGCTATGTTGCTGCCTCAGGCTCCCCCCAAAACCCTAAGCGCTTCAGGAACAGAGCTATGTGGCAGACCTGTCCAGGGCAGACTGCCTCCAAAGCACAGGAGACAGCCACCAGCCTCTCTACTACTTGGGTCCAGAGGACTCCTCCAGGGTGTTGAGACAGACTAACCATGGCCATCTCAGGCTCAGCCCCATCTTCCCTGCCTCACTGAGGGCTGTGTGTGTGTGCATGCGTGTATATGTGTGCTGTTTGCTTTTTCACTCTCTTCCACTCAAGAAGAGCCGGATCTCAGGCTCAGTCCCATCTTCCCTGCCTCACTGAGGGCTGTGTGTGTGTGCATGCGCGTATATGTGTGCTGTTTGCTTTTTCACTCTCTTCCACTCAAGAAGAGCCGGACTGAAGCAGCACCTCCCAATAGCTCCCTTGTGTCTCTGCACCCACAAGGAGCCACCCTGATGTGGGAAGCTGTGCGTATGGCCCTGAGGATGGCCCTCGGGGAGTTGTAGATGGCCTTACATGAGACCTGAGCCCACAGCCTCGGGAACTCTAGGCCCTATCCTGTGTCTTCTAGCTTTCCTGTTACCTCTGCTCCCCCAGCATTCCTATAGCCCTGTGCTCCATCCCAGCCATAAGCCCCAGACTGAGGGCAGCTAAAAATGGCTAGATTCTACCTCAACACTGTCCCGCTGCTCACAGCACCCGTCTTTGCACGCTCCTTGCACTTCTGATTGCCTTTGTCTGTTTTCTGTATCAGACTGCCCTGTTCCCACCCATCTCTGCACCCACTGTCCAGCAAAGGACCCCATACTGAAGCTCCTGAGGCTGCCCACCATTTCTGCCCCAAGTGAGTGAAACCCCAGCACACTGCCATAAAAACAGCCACTTTATTAACATGCACCAGTGAGTAGTGAGGAGGGTGGCAGGGACGCCACAAGAACAAGGGCTGTCCCTTCCACCTAGCACAGGAAGTCCAGGAGGGGAGGCACAGTGGCACTAATGTCTTAGAATGGGTACCTTCAATACTTCCACAGCCAGGGCAGCCTGGGCTCCTTAGCTGACCCAAGACCCCTCCTTGCCCAAGGCAGCCAAAGAAGGGAGCACTCTCTCCTACTTGGGTCATCTGCAAGTCACCTTGAGAGGGTTCTTCCACCTCAGAGAAGGGCCTGGAAAATGGGCAGGTACTGCCTACTCTGGGCCCTCTAGTGTGGGCGCAAACCCAGGATCCTAGGAGTTCATGTACAGCTTCTGGCAGCAGGGTGGCTCCGAGAAGGGGCCTGTGGGCTCTCTCCCAAGGCAGAGACAGGGCCACAGTGTCAAAAGTCCTTTCTTGTCAGTTGTGCTCTGTGTCACATCTTTACAGCCCAGGATCTCCTGCAGGGTGGGTGTCCAGCGAGAGCCCCAGGATGGGGTGCTCAGGTCTCAAGGGCTATAGCACCAGCTAGGAATGGGGAGGCCTGCAGGAGCGACAGCAGGCTTTGCTGTAGTACCAGTGGCTGCAGAGGTTCACTTTGATGGCCAGTGCGCAGTTGGTGCCTGGCTGGTCCTGGCAGCTATCATCTGTGGATGGGACACAATACAAGGGGGAAAGATGAAATGCCAGGAGGCCCAAGGGGAACAGTATCTTCACAAAGGCAGGAGCTCACTGAGGACATCCCAGAGTCACACTATGAACAGGTAAACAGATGAGTCTCCCAGCCTAGGTCCAGAACACCTCAGATACTACAGATTTCAGTTCTGTGTCTCAGCTATCCCTTATCAGTCCAAGTCCCTCTCCAGGAAAATATGGATCCCACTAGGTGGTTTGATCTGATCACTTGGGGAGTAAAACCTTGGGATTTGGGAGAGTCCCTGATCCCTTCTGAAAAGTCCAAACCCTTCCAGGGCCTGTGGGTTCCTCTCTCCTTGCCTCAGTATTCCCAAAATATAATCCACCGGCCTCTACGTTTGGCATCCACTTTGGAGACTGGACCTTGTCTATCTTTCCAAGCTCAAGCAAGAAACCACATAGCTCTTGCCTCTCTGCCTCCTGAGAGTCACACCTGCTGCTCAGGCCAGGTCATCTCGGTCCCTGGTCCCACGGATTACCCCAACCAAATTTTAGATCAGTGCTTTTTGCAAGACTTAGGTCTCTGCCTGGGTTCCCTGCGCCCCAGCTAGGCCTACCCCTCAGAGAAGACCTCTCCTGAAGATACACCTGTATGCTTCTCTAGCTGCTTCCCTTGGCTAATGCCTGTTGGTCCTCCAGACCCTGGCTCTGCCCACAACTCCTGCCAGCCCCTATCCCATGTGCAATCTCTTTCTTCTCACCTGGGGGCTCTGTGGGACACGGCTGCAGGTCACAGGCCTGTCTGCCAACAGGCTTCACCAGTGGGTCACATCCTCGGACAATGTCGGTTCCCTGATAACACTTCACATCTCTCATCCTCACACCTACCCCGCATGTCTTGGTGCACTGGTGGAGGACAGACAGACAGACAGACAGACAGGTACATAACAAGGCTCCGCATAGTAATAGAGACAGGGAATCTCATCACTCAGCATTCTTCCTTCTACACCCTAACTGTCCACGGGCTGGCCCAGGACACACCCGCTCCTTGGAATCTAGAGGCTGAGCTGGGGTTGAGCAGAAGTTAACTGGAGGAAAGGCAGTGTCTGGCTTCTCTGCCTCAGTTTTCCCAGCTCCATTATGAGAGGATGCCAACTATGACCTGCTGGGTGCTCAGGTTCCATCTGTCCCAGATTAGTGACACAGAGAGTTTGCCATGGACCAATCAATGCAACTTCCAGGGCCATCACACTGAGTCCAGATGTTCTCCTCAGAAAGCCTGCTGAGCTACCCAGAATACCAGGGACATCTGCTGACCCCAAATACCCTGCTGTTTCCCTGCCAAGATCCTGCAGGCAGTGGTTCCCTGATGTGGTAACCCCACATCACCCAGGCATGCCTTGGACCTGAGGTATGGGGAGGCCCCTACCCCAGGCTCACCCTAGTCTGGTTACCAGACACAGAGCTGATGAGGGCTGGCATGAGGCCACTCGCCTGCTCACCAGCCTGAGGAGAGGAGAGGCTGGCTTGGCACAGGCAATCAGAGGACACTCTGCCTTTGCTGATGCCCCTGAAGATAAGTGGGCTTCCAGCAGGTCCTGGCACCTGCTCCTCTGTCCATAGATACAGATGGGACAGAACAATTGGATGAACACTGAGCTGATGCATCATAATGGGGCAGCTATAGTGAAGAGCACTGCCCCAGCCAGGAGCAGAAAGGACAGACTCGCATCTGTCCACCACTCAAGTGTTCTATCTTCTCCTGCTATCGCATCAGGGCAAGCACCCAGCATCTGAGCCCAGATAGGACCTATGCATTGGGGTATTGGACACTATAGAACACCACAATGGAGGCTCTGTGCTCCACGCCCCATCTGGTACTCTACTATTATTCCTAAGCATTCAGAATTGACCTCCTGCTATCGCATCAGGGTGGGAAGCACCCCTTGCTCATGGCCACTTTGGGGATCCTCCTTACGTATTCTCCTCCCTTCCCATTGTCCAACATCCTGCTATCGCATCAGGGTGGGAAGCACCCCTTGCTCATGGCTACTTTGGGGATCCTCCTTACGTATTCTCCTCCCTTCCCATTGTCCAACATGGTCAATGACTTACTAGGCTCTGGTCACTCAGCTACCCTAAGACCAGTGTTATTCTCAAAGTACATGAATTACTTGGCTGCCCAGACCACAGCCAGACCTCCAGCTAGGCCCAGTCAGTTCAGAGGGGATCTTCACTTCAGAGATACCTGGTGTCTCTCTACCTGCTTCCCCTAATGGTACTTGCTGGTCCTCAAGCTCTGCCATGCACCCTCTAGGCAACTGTGGCCCTACCTCCCTTCCTTCTTACCTTCAGGGTGATGGGAATTTGTGGGCACCACAGTGTGTGTGTGTGTGTGTGTGTGTGTGTGTTTGTGTGTGTATGTGTGTGTGTGTGTGTATTATGTATGTCAGAAGAACTCTGGAGTTCCCAAGCCCATGCTTGAGAAGGGCAGCAGCTGGGGCCTCACCTCACAGAGCCCTTGGACTTTCAAGTCTTGGATTTGTAACCCACCCATCCCAGCATCTGAGCCCAGATAGGACCTATGCATTGGGGTATTGGACACTATAGAACACCACAATGGAGGCTCTGTGCTCCACGCCCCATCTGGTACTCTACTATTATTCCTAAGCATTCAGAATTGACCTATATGGGAACAAAACCACAGACAGCTTGAACCCCTTGGTTACCCAGTGTGGCCACAGAAGTCCAGTCCTCAGCCTGCCCCAGGAATGCTTAAAGATGGTTCTGGACTCCCCTTGTCCTTGCATAGGACAGATGCTGTTGCTATGGGATGGCATGTAGATGTTGATGTTAGTTAATAAAAGCTGACATCTAGGTGTGGCTGCCTCTGTGGTGTTAGGAAGGCTCGGGATGCTGACAAGCCTCAAGGAGTGATATGACTTCTCAGACAGGGTGAAGAGCAGCTGAGGTGCACTTGCCTTGCTGTAATAATCAGAGATTAGACAGGGAGCCCCTCCCACCCTGTGGGTAGAGGACCCTCCCATCCTTCTACTTACTGCTTCTCTGCCTGTCCATCACTTGCCTGTGAGTTGAGGCTACTCACACCTTAGGCTCCTTGCCCTGGACTCCTGGGATGGACTGGTTTGCACCCCTTCCCTTTGCAGAGTCCTCAGCCCCATGTCTAACACTCCTTAAACTCTGGCCCCAAGTTGGAAAACTGTCAACTTCAGTTTCTCCCTCTCAGTAAGTGTGTCAGTAAGTGACAATTAGAAAAGGGATCTGGGGACAAATGCTGGGCCACAGCTGCCCTCAGTGACCTCTGTGGCAACAGGGTGACAGCTCCGGTCTTGTTTCAGAGATGAGAGCTCTGCTCTATCCTGCCTAACGTGCTAAGGAGCCTGTAGAACTGAACAGGGGGTCAGGCTTGTATCGGGACAGCTTGCTGCTCTGCCCCCTAACCTAGGCTCACATTCTGCTGTATGCACAAATCTCATGCCTCTGCCTTAGCCATGCTTCAGCCAATCTTACTCTCTGTGTCCACTGGGATTGGAATACCCTTTGGAGAATATCAAGCATACTTGCTGCTACCAAGCACAACACTTAAAAGCTTCGTTTTTAAGCCAGAAGTGACCAGGCCCAGACAGGCCCACAAAAAGCTGCAGGGACACCAGGGTAAGATAGGCAAAGGCTTCAGTGGTGGCTCTCAGCATCCTGTCTGACTGAGGCTTGGAGGAAGGTTTGATGGACATGGGCCAAGATGGACGTTATATGGCAGGATCAGAGCCTAGGCCTGGTTTAAAGCAGCTGTGGTGGGGGGTGGGGGTGGTATGCTCACCTCTGACCAGGGGCTGGTGTACCACTTGAAGCAAGGTCTCTCAAAGCAGGTGCTCTCCTCAGGGGGCTTCCTGGACAGCCCACACTCAGGACCACTGCGCATCTGAGGCTTCCCATTGGCCAGCTCCATGCAGAGAACCAACCGCTTTTTCACACCACGCCCACAGGTAGTGTTGCACTGAGAGGGGCCAGACAGGATGGTCAGTGGCCCGAAGCCCGGACAACCAGAACCTGACAGACCACCTCTGTGGCCAAGGTTTGGTCAATGATATTTGGGTAAAAGGCAAGTACTTTCAACTGGGGGATTGGCTGATGACTTTTTGTTTGGTAACCATTTGGCCCCATCGAGATTTGATCAAAAGCAATCAGGCCCAAACCATCTGTTTTGAAACAAATTGGATAATGTAATTTGGCCAAGGATGATCAGGCCCAAATCAATTCTGCAGAAAGCAATTTGGCCCAAGATTATTTAGTTAACAGTGGCCTGCCTAAAACCATTGACTGAGAGCAATTGTCTGAAATGGCGAGTTGGTGACAAGGACAGGTTGGGACAGAAGACAAATGGATTGTGATGGTGAAAGGTCATCAAAGCCCTGTGGGCTGAAAGTGTGTGCAGCCAACACACCCTGTCTCTGGCTTTGTGTCCACCAGAGCAGGGCTCAGTGAGAAGATACTGGGGACTTACAGACATCCCTGGAGGAGGAGACAGGAAGTGGTTTTACTATCTTTTTGGCATTTTTTTTCCAAGTTAATTGTTCTTCATAGCTTGTCGTGAATTCCCCACTGTGACCAGCCCGTTGACACTCTCCATCTCCCTGTGATCCAGAGAGAGGCTCCATGCAGACTCCTGGGTACTTACCCGCTCCCAGTCTTGAGCCAGCCAGTGGGCCGGGCAGTTCTTGTCCCCACAGGGGTGGATGGCCAGAGGCTTTGTCTCCATCTGGCACTGAGACTCTGGGACTACCCGTCCATCGCTGGTCTTACAGTACACATGCCTGATCGTACGGCCCTGCCCACAGCTTCCACTGCACTGCAATAGGGAACAACAGAGGCCGGTAGAAGAACAGGGACCATTCCACAAGCCCCCGACCTGCATCATCTCCAAGTAAGAGAAACGGCTTCCAGGGCAGTGTAGGGGAAGCAGTTTCCACGGTAACCACTTTTTAAATAACATTTCTGTTCTAATTACAGAAATAACATGTTCAGTGCAAAACACACACAGAGAAAAGCACAGCTCAAAAGGTCACCTGAGCCCCCACCACAAGAGAGGACCCTACCTATCAGATGAGCAGCTCTGTTCCAGATGAGAGAGACAGATGGAGACAGAGACAGGAAGGGAAAATAAGCAGAGAGACAGAGACAGGGAAAGGCATGCAGACAGAAAGATGGAAAGAAGGAGCGATGTAGTCAGAAGAGGTGGAAACAGAGACATCATTAATGGGACAGTTATGTCCACAGGGGTTTGACTCCCTAGAAGAGTGGAAAAGAGGTCATTGTACTTTTATTCTCATGTCTTCATTACAGATAGATGAGAAAACTGAGGATCAGAAAAGCAGAGTCCTCAGTCAGGGTTAGGGTCCCGTCACTAGCACCATGCCCTGAATCTAGCCTCACCGGTCCCCAATCTGAGACAGTCCATTGGCGGTCACAGGGAGGCCCCGTGCAATTCTTCTCTCCCACAGGCCTGGTGCTGGGGTCGCACAGCTTCTCATCCTCAGAGCAGCGGATGTCTCTGGTCACGACGCTGCGCTCTCCACACTTGGCTGTACACTACAAGGAAGCCAGAGTGGTAAGCATCATGGTTGGCCAGCTCTCAGGCACAGGCCACCACCCCAGCATGGCAGACTCTCACCTCCGACCACTCAGACATCTCCCATTGTGGCCCACAGGCTGGGTTGCGGCATATCTTGCGCTCCTCAGGCCGTACAGCTTCTGTGGCCTCACACAGGTCACTGTACACGGAGCTGTCAAAGCCAGGAGACAGCATCTTCCAGCAGCGCACGATGCGGAACTGATGGCCCTCACCACAGGTGCGTGAGCACTCACTCCAGCTGCTGGTCTCCCACCTGCCTCAGGAGCGAGGACAGCCCTCAGTGGCCCCAAATTACACAGGCCAGACCAGACTGGAAGGAGGTGAGACCAACCAGTGGGGACTGTGTCCATGACAACCCTGTGTTAGGTAGCCCTAAGCAGAATGTTGGGTGAGCAGCCTGCAGGTGCCCATGGCCTTCAGGGACCTGGCACATTCACCAGCTCTCACCTCCAGCCCTTCTTCCTTTGTCCTTTCTGTCTCCTGCTCCCTGCTCCACACTTGCCACTCTTCAGGTTCATACTCCAGTGTCCCAGAGCCCCAGGCCTCATTTGCCATGCCGGGTCACACAGGTGACTGTGGCCCCTTCTGGACTCTGATTCTTCATGGCAATGGTGGAAGTGAACCAAAGGTGTGAGTCCTGCTCTATACCCAGAGAAGGCATCTCCAGTGTGCAGGATGACCACCCATCCCTACCCCTATGCTGTGTGGGGTTATAAAAGCCCGGGTTCCTCATGCAGGTCCTCTGAGAAGACATATTTAGAGAGGAATCTAAGTCAAGTGCAGGCCAGCTCTCTGGTCTTTTGTTCCAGAAAGGAACAAATGCTCAGATGTAGCAGCCGGAAGAAAAGAAGGAATGTGACCATGTTGGGGAGCCAGAAATACATGACTCCTTGGAAGTGACACCAAGGTTCTGCTTCTTTGAAGACAAGATAAGAGATGTGGGGGCTAGAAAGATGAGGCTCCACTACATTCCAGAGATGTGGGTCTTCCCTAGCTTATAGAGATCCCAGCCTTGCAGTTCAGCCCAGGCACAAGATAGCCCTCTGTTATAGGGAGTAATGGGGAAAACATTTCCTGCGGTGGAAAGTGTTTAGTGACCATCCCGTGTGCTCTGCTCTGCTCCCCACACAGTCCCATAGCTTAGCTCACAACAGAGGCAAAGCAGAGACCTAAGGTGAGCATGGGTATGTAAGTGCAAGCACCACACACATACATGCACACACACACTCATTCTGACACCCAGCTGGGTGCTCGAAGACTGGTACCTGGGCTGGCACTCCCTCCCAGCGCAGAATTCGTGGACAGGCTCAGGACGGGTCAGGGCATCACAGTAGCTGTCATCCACCTCAACACCATCATAGCGAACACACATGGCATATGTGGACATGACTCCTAGGTTTGGAACAATGCAAAGGTCTGTAAACTGTGTGGTTAACAGCAAGTACCTTGGATACCAGCAGATGGGTGAGCCTTGTGGTCTTGGATGGGTCACGAGACCACTCAGAGATCTGCTTCTTGGGTTGGGGATAGTAAAAGCCTAGAGCCTTATGGAGACAAAGTAAAATATATGCAGGTGTTCTGATGTGCATTTGTCTGATAAACTCCACCGTGGGATATGAGCAGGCAAGCAGGTAGGAAAAAAAACAAAAAACAAAAAAACTTGCAGCACTTGACAGCTCTGCCCCCAGATATCAGACTAGGTACCCCAGCTCTTACTGAAGATCTCCTAACCAGCACCTCCATGTCTTTAACTACCTGTGTGGCTTTTCTGGGATTCCTGAATCTAAAATCACTTGGGGACAGAGAAGGTTACACACATTAAAAAAGAAAAGTCTTCTCCCAACCATATGGATTTCCTGGCCACACCTCCTCTCTTTCTTCCCTGAACCTACTTCCTACACCAGAAAAGTAGCCCCCGCATGTGGGCTCACTAAAGGGTGAGCATGCCCTGCCCCAGAGCAAGGCATTCCAGGACTGTGATTGACTGGGAAAAGCCAGTGTGGAGCTGTAAGTGGAAGAGCCTCCTGGGGTTTCCTGTCTTCCCTGGGGTATCTGAGCCCCATTGGCCTCTGCTGCTTAAAACCCCAGTCCTGGACAGAACCATAGAGCCTGTGAAGAAACCATACGTCTCTCTGTGTGTGTGTGTGTGTGTGTGTGTGTGTGTGTGTGTGTGTCTGTCTGTCTGTCTGTCTGTCTGTCTGTCTGTCTCTGTGTGTATGTGTGTGTTGGTGTCTCTCTGTGTCTCTGTCTCTGTCTCTGTCTCTCTCTCTGTCTCTCTCTCTCTCTCTCTCTCTCTCTCTCTCTCTCTCTCTCTCTCTCTCTCTGTGTGTGTGTGTGTGTGTGTGTGTGTGTGCTGCATGAAAGCCAAGTCAGGCTACAATTACTGGTTCCTCCCTCCAGCACTGGACTGTGCATTCTTCAGCCTGCTGGGGGAGGAGGGCCAGCTTCCTGGCCAGGTCTACTTGGAACGTTTCAGGCCTCAGAGACACTAGCTCTGGGACCCAAGGACAAACAGACAGGGCTGGAGACTTGTGCAGCTGCCCCAAGTACCTGGTTATGCATTGGCTTGTGGTCACGGAATAGAAACACACAGCAGGGCCAACCAGACTCGTCATGGCCCAAGATTGCTCTTCTCAAGAATGGGAAATTTCCAGAAAAGCTATAAGATCAAAATGCCACTTTTCTGGGACCTTTTCCTTACACCTGTCTTGAGCAGGGAGCTTCTCAAAACTTCTTAACCACAGAGCCTTTGCCTTGAGCTGAAGTGGGCTTTGCACCCTGATATATGAAACAAACAAGACAAGATGTCCATCCTCAGTAACGGTCCTACCAATTTCCTTGATCCTGGGAGGATTTGCTGTGCCCTGGGAGATTGAGGGACAGTCTAGAAGCCATACTCTGTGCCCCAAGCCCAGTCCAAGACATTTAGGAATAACGTTGCCATTCCAAAACTTAAGATCCTCGCATAGCTGGGGGTTCAGGGTGCAGAGAAGGCAGGCCCCACAACCTAACACAGCCTCGAGAACAGATTTCAGCACGAGGGAAGGGGGAGAGAAGTGGGTGCACCCATGACTCTCTACAGATCATCTGCAGACATTGTGTGCATCCACAGCGGGCAAAACCCACATACTGTGGCCTGGCTTTTCAACATGGTTGCAGTTGTGCACATCAAATTTAAGTCCTGGCAACACAGGACTTTCCAAACAACTACTGAGGTTAGGCAAGATGAATTGTCCATAGTGTGAACCCTTCTCTGTCCTTTCTGTTAGTGTCACTCAATTGGGTCAGTGCCTCCTGAGGTGACAGAAACCTCTCTGCTTCTGACATCTTTGTCTAAGGCAGAGCTCATCCCTTCCCTAGCATAAGATGTGTCCTATTTCCTTTCTTCCTGCATCCTGTTCTGCACTGCGGGCAACATAGAACAGCCCTGCTTCCTGTCCTGGCCACTGTGTAAGTGTTGAAAGACAATAGTGTCATGCTCTCCCTGGAGACATCATCTAGCAGGGCTCATTCATCAGGCCCCTTGCCACCAAGACTGCCTCAACCTGGAGACATCTCAAGTGATGTCACCTCCCCAGCTTCCAGAAAGTTTCCACTGTCACAACACACGGGAAGTTCCACAGCCAGGATGGCTAGAAGGATCCATAGTGTGCCCACACCCAGCGTCAACAGGCTCTGAGAAGCTAAGGCCACAGCACCTGCCATAAAGTCTGGTCCTGACAATCCATCCCTATGAAAGGCAGGCCACAGGGCTCATCTGGGCTAGTGCCAGCTTCAGCCTTGCCTTGGAGCCCTTCAGTGGGGCCTTAGCCATGGTGCTCAATGGCTGAGTTTAGACCAAGCAGGTTGTTTCTTCTCTTTTATCCCATAAGAACTTTTGCCACTGTACATTCCATTTTACAGGTAGAAATGAGTAGTGAGTTGCTGAGAGCCTGGGGCATGACATAGTAGTCAGTGTGGTTCAAATGCTCCCCCACCCCAAGCTGTTTGTTTGTTTCCAAATTGTCGAGTACAGGGCATTATTGTGTGTTTGGGGGCAGGGCCAGCATGAGCAGAACCTCAAAGCTGAACGTCCGCATCTTCACTCTGAAGAGCCCCTCTTCTGAGATGTTAGAGAATAGCTAAGGCTGACAGGGGGGGCTGGACCTGATTGTCACTCTGCATGTCATGGGAACAAGGGTGCTTTTGTGACCCTTCAACTCCTGCCATGCCACTCCATCTCCCAGATCAAGAAGCCAGGCAAACCCCCTGGAAGTGGCTTGGGACTGGAGTGAATGGGGGAGTCTCCAGCTGAGCCACAGTCACTGCAAATGTAGGCTCAGAGAAGGTGGCCCGGGGGTTCTGGGCTCAGTACCTGTGGTACATGTGGCGCTGCAGGGCTCATGGGATGAGAGCTTCCACCTATACATGTCAGCTGGGCTCACACCTTGTTTGCGCGCCTTGGGTCTGGTCCTGAAACAAGGTCAGAGAGTGTGGTGAGAGAGCTGGATGCTCAAAGACTTCATTCTCAAGTGGATGAATCTCCCTCTGAGGCTACACTCTCCTTAAGGACAGTGCCCTCTATGAAGCCAGGCTCCCACCTCTGGAACAACAACAACAACAACAACAACAAAAGACACACACATTTTGGCACTGAACAGACGCCAGGCTCCCACCTCTGGAACAACAACAACAACAACAAAAGACACACACATTTTGGCACTGAACAGACATGGGCATTTCCCATCTCAGGAACTGAACAAACTGCCTGGAGGCACTCTGCTCATTCAGAGGTACCCTGAACAATGAGGGACTCACCAACATTGCAACTGGTTCTTCAGCACAGGCTTCTCACTGCATCTCACATCGGCCAGCAGATTCCTTCTTCCCACCCCAGAAGGAATCTCAGAAAGCCTTTAGGGGCTGAGATGTTCCAGAATTTTCCCCAGCTGCCGCCCTCAGCTGGGGTTCTGATGAATGGGGACACCAGCCCTTCAACTTCCAATTTTCAAACTCACAAAGCCCAGCTGCAGGAGGCAGAGTGGCCTAGTCCCACACTGCAGCTCAGGTCAGTGATGGCTGCACAGGCCAGCTGACGGGAAGAGGCACACTGGGGCCCAGCCAGCCAACAGCTATGATTCTTGGCCAGAATTCTGATGGCCATAGCCAAGTATTGTTAGGACTGTTAGCTTCTTTGAACCAGTCTCAGCACCCTCTGTGCAGGCTATTTGGGACTCAGCAGGGGTAGGAAGTAGCTGTGCAGCATTACCTCCACCCAGAGTGTTTGCTCAACACAGCCCCTGAGTCTCATGACCCCCATAGCCAAGAAGAGCAGTTGAGGGACCTGCTCCATCGATAGCAGCTCCCTCAGGCTGCATAGGCCAACTCCACTTTCCTTGGAACTAAGAGGGGCTAGCTAAGTGCTATGTACTGACACCTTTCACGGGACTTTCATGGACTAGTCTCTTTCCTGGGGACTACAGTCACTGGAGGATTGTGGGTGTTATAGGCCATTACATTCTAAAAGCCATTCTGGCTGAATCTGTGGTAGAGACATCTGTAAGGACTGTTAGTCAAGTGGGTGAGAATTGCGCCTGTGTTTTGCTCTGATTGGCTCATGTTTCCCAAGAGAGTGCTTTGAGGACTAACGCTGCCCTGATAGCACGTCATGCTCTGAGAACCCAGGAAATGATCTACCAACAGGCGCCTTTACTGTTGTGATGCTGTGAATTCTCAGAAGGAGAGATGCCTGCAGGAAGGAGGGAGGCAGGGGCCTGGGCCCCTGTCTCCTGGGGCTCGGACCCACCCTTGAGCCAGGTCTATGCAGGGGAAGCTCTGCCCTCCTCCTGGTTACAAGCAATATTTTAACATCGAGGAGGGCATCCAAGATGCTTCATCTCAAAGCAAAGGATCCCGGACCCGAGTTCCCAGTGGGACCCACTCAGAGCATCAACTGAGGGTGGGCCAAACCTTTCAGTGTGGAAGAACTGGGGAGAAGAATCAGTCCCTAAGACTTGACCCAGACAACACCGGAGCTGTCTGGGCCCCCCACACTGCTTTCAGCAGCCTTAAATTCCTTCCAAGAACAAAAAGAGAGAAGATGCCCTCAGTGCAGAAGCTCCTCCATCTTTATATAATTACACACTTCCCAGCCACAGCCCGCATGACTCATCCCTGACTCAAGAGCTAGCCGCCAGGTTCAAAATAACCCTTTGGATTTTAAGCCCTAAAGGTATTTCTGGAGGGGCTGTCTACACCCACTCTCCAGCACGTGTGGGGTGCTGGGTGCTGCTTAAATCACAGCGCAGCACCTAACAGGTTTCCTTGCTGGAAGGTGCCCCAAGAATCACCACACCCTGGAAACCACCACCACCCCAATCTGGAAGGGTCCTGCTTTCGGCGGTGATGGTTTCCAAGATACCGGTGGCCACTGCTTTTGGGTTCTTGCCCAGTGCCTGGCGGGACACAGGCTCCTGAAAGCCCCAGAGAGCAGAAGCTCTGAGATGACTGTTTGTTTATAAGTGAACCAGAAACTCTCTTCCTACTCCGCTCCAGGCTCCAGAGAGGGATGTGTGCCTCAGCATCCCAGACGCCTGTTCCCAAAGAGTCTGGTGACAGCCCCTCCCGGGATTGTTTGAAGCCTTTCGAGAAGATGAAAATAGCCCTTCCTTTCTGGGCTGCCCCTTTGATTTCGCCCGCTCCCAGAGCAGACTCAACTTCCTGTGTTTGGACAACACACCGAGATGTGGCTATTTCGGCTTGGTAGTTTCCCCCATGGCCTCCCTCAGCCCATTATCTCCCCAGACCATCTTTGGTCCACAGCAGCAGCATCCTTTGATGGCAGCTGGTTGGGCATCTCACTGAGCTGACAATCTGTTTTAATGACTGGCTCTGGGAATCGGTATGTCCCAGGGGCTAAGGGGACAGGATAAGAAGAGACAGACACTTTGAAATTCTGGACCATGGGCACTCCTTTGGGACCTGCTTAGAGCACCCACTCAGGGTATTCCAAACCTCTCACAGGGAAAGAAACAGTCCCTAAGGCTTGATCCAGACAACATGGAGACGCCTGATTGGGCCCTACCCTGCTCTCCACAGCTTGTATGTGACTTTGGCCTGTGAGGCATTGCATTGCTGAGCCACCAGGCCTCTGACAGACAGAGAAGCTGAGGCCTAGAAGAGAACAGAGATGTATCCAGCTCCCATGGAGTGACCTGCCCTTTCACTATACCACACAGCCACCCACATAGCCCATATCACAGACGAATAGAGGAGAGGGACTTTGTGCCACCTGATAAACATATATATGTCATCCCTGTTGTCCCCAAGGAAGATACAGAGAGAGCCAGCAACCCAGAGAGACTGGCAGGGTAACAAAGCAGGTATTTTCTGATTCAGAACCACTCTGCCCATCACCACTGCCTGTGACTTCTCTCAGTCTCTGATTCTGTAGCCCCCCTGGGAAAAGCCTATCTTTCATCACCAGCCACTGGGTCCCCAGAACTAGGCAGAGGCCCCTAGAAGCTTTGATGGTCAGGGTTAAGTGACCAGCTCAGAATCCCATCTCCCTAGAGCTCATCAGGTAGGGTACCTGGTGTGTACTAGCCCTTGGAAATAAGGCTTCAGAAAGCAGTGTGAGAGAAGACGCAACAGCATATCCTCCATCTTTACTACCCTCAAACCCTAGAAAAGTGTAAGAAGTGACCTAAACCCTGTCACCTTGAGAGTGACTGTCAAATCTTCCATCAAACCCCAACCTCAGCCTCCCTTGATCTGGATAGAGTACATCTCAAGATTTTGCGTGGATTCCCAGAAAACAAAAGTCAATAGGCTGGTTCCCATCTTCAGGACTCATCCTCCACCAGAGGCTAAAAATTCTAACCCTGGCTGTTTACACAAGCCTTGCTGCACACCCAGGCACCTGAGAAATGGCTTTAGCAACTGGAGAGGTTCTCTGTTACTGGTATGGAAGGTCCAGGGTCACCTGCTCCCAAACAACACTAGCCCAGGAGGCTGAGACCGCAGGCCCCTCTAGCCCAGCCCTGGCTGTCCAGCCATGCCCAGGCCCTCCCCTTTGTGGATCTCCAACCTCACTCTCCACGTCCCCAGCCTTGATTCTACGATTCTATGGCATCCTGAGCCATAGCTGCTGTCTGCCTGTGATGCTCGCTTACTGCATAAGCCCATTATGCTAACAACTCCAGCCTGTTCCTAACTTTGATTCGGGGTCTCCCTGTCAGGGGAAGAACTACAGGTTCCGCTATCATTCTCTCTTTGGTTGGGGTGAGGGCTGCTGTTGAGGCTCCACGTTCAACTGAGGGGCTGCAGGCAGAGCCCATCTTGTGCCTACCAGCCATGTTTCAATGACTGCCCAGACATAGAATCCAGAACCCCAAATCCTTAGGCTCTGTGCACTCAGCATGGCTTCTGCTTCTGAGTTCCTAGGAACCTAACAATAAGGGTAGCTGTGATCACTCCCTGATCTATGTTTATAAAAGACTGAGTCCATCCCAGCACCAGGAGGCTGCTAGCGGCATACCTCCAGCATGCTGGAGGTCACTATCATGAGTTGAAGCAATCACAGCTGGGGACACTTAAGACCCATGAAGTGTCCTTTCAGAAAGACATGTTACAGTCAAGGCCCATAACCTCATGTCAAATCACAGGGTGACTGAAAACGTGACTCTCTCTCACACTTACCTCCAGGTCCCTGGACCTTCTGGCCAGACCCCCTTGGGAACTAAAACAAGGCAAGAAGAAGTGCCTCTTACCTAGCCTTGTGAGTCCTGTTCCCAGCCAATGTGGGGAGGCTGGCACTGGTGTTGGGGAATGGGGCCTCAGAGGAGGTATTGATCCTGTCACTGCTCAGCTCCAGGTAAGACCCATTGATCAAGTAGGCAGCAGGCCCCTCATTCTCCTCATAATCCACATAGAGGCTCTCAGCTGGGGAGTTTCTTGGGGCTCCCTGGGAAAAGACGCTGTTCATGGTCTCATTGAGAGAGAACTCTTCCGAGTCAGAGCCTGTGCCCAGGAGCTGATCAGAGATGGCGTTGGCTGAGAGAAGCTCCTGGGAGGTGAAACGTGTATCAACCTCCTGGTCATCCTTGTCCCCTGAGAGAGCTATCCCAGTGGCATTGTGGTCTGCAGAGAGACAGGTGTTTCAATATCCATAGCTGCTAATATGCCGCCCCTCCTCCACCACACTCCTGTGTATGACAGGTGAATTACATAATGGAGATGACTTTGGTCTTTGCCGCCCCTTCTCCACCACACTCCTGTGTATGACAGGTGAATTACATAATGGAGATGACTCAGTGGGGTAGTGAAAAAAAAAGACACTCCCAGGTTCTACTCCATCAGACACAGTTGGCCAACATCATCAAGTGAAGAAAACCCAATGGCTACAGCAGATGGTTAGGCAGTGTCCCCTGAGCCCAGGCTCAGCTGGAAGCTCAGCATGAGATCTGGTTTGGAAAGAGAATCTTTATAGGCTCGTGAAATAATATAAACTGATTTAGGGTGAGCCCTAAACTTATGACTAGTGTCTGCCTAAGAAGAGTGAACACAGACACATAAACCTCACGAAGTCCAGCACGAGGGAGAAGCATATATGAGCCAAGATATCCGGGGCCACCAGCAACATCCATTTCCTGGGGCCCAGTGCTATCCAAGTGAGCCGTGGGGCAGACCAGCTGGAACTGACTTCCAGTTCCAGTGGGTGGAGGAGTTGACAGGTTACCTCCTCTCTAAGCCCATCTCTTCTGTCAGACTCAGATAACCTGATATGGTTCACCCTCTATAGATGTGGGGTCTACATCCTAAGAATCAAATAGAGAAGGATCAAAAGATTTTGAAAATAGAATTACATATCGACTGGGTCTGGTGGTACATGACTTTAATCCTAGCATTAGGGAGGCAGAGGCAGATGGGTCTCTATGAATTTGAGACCAGCCTTCTCTACATAGCAAGTTCCATCAAGATCCTGTCTCAAGGAGGAGGAGAAGGAAGAAGAGGAAGAGAAAGAGAGGAGGAGGGGGAGGAAAAGGAAGAAGAATTACATCTATGTTAAAGCTATTTTGACAGTTAATATTGATGAGATTGTCAACTTGATGAGATCTAGAGACGCCAAGGATATAGGTTTCTGCACTTGTCTATGAGGAATTATCTAGATCAGGTCTACTGAGGAGGGAAGACCCACCAGAACTGTGGGCAGCACCATCCTGTGTAAAAGGAGACAGTGAACACCAGCTTCCATCTCTCTCTTCTTCCTGACTGTGGATGCAATATGACCAGCTGCCTCAAGCTCCTGCCTCCATGGTGGACTATACTTCCTGGAATTATGAGCTGAAAGAAAACCTTCCTTCCTTCCTGAAGTTGCTTTTCTCAGGTATTTGGTCACAGCAACAAGAGAAGTAATTAATCCATTAATGTATAAGCCCTGTCATGTGTCACCTTGCCATGACTTAGCGTCGTCGCTAAACACAGCATACACACTGCATCTAAGACTGTGGGTCAGCTGTGGTGACCAATGGTGCATGGCTGTGTTCTATGCAAGCACACCACACCACTGTATACAAGGATTTGAGAAGCTGAGAATTTTGGTGTACAAGAGGAAACTATAATCAATCTGAAGACCCTGAGCTATGACTGTATGCCTCAGACTTCACAGTGTGCCTGCCCAGAGAGAACGTGCAAGCAACTGGCAATTCTCTTTAGCCTCTTCTGTAAACTTCAAAGGGGACCAACACTCCTCACTTGAGGTCTCTGTCCCTGGGGAGCCCTCTCCTTTCCCATATCCACTATTCCTCTTTCTCACCTTGGAAGCCCTTGCCCCTGGGAGGTCCCTCACAGGCCCCACCGCTGGCTCGCTCGCACACCTCGTTGGTCTCCTGGCCCCTGCTCGGACCCAGCTCTACTTCAGGGACTGGAGACTGAAACAGCTTGTTATTCAGGCCCAGCCTCTCTGAGGAGGCCTGGTGGTAGAGTGAGCCGTTATGCTGCATGAAGCCCAGCAGCCTGGCACTGTCCAGCTCCTGGCCCTCGGTGCTCTCTGTGCTCTCGGAGGCTGGCTCGGAGAAGCTATAATAGACAGGCTGTAGGTGGTGCGTGTGTGGTGGCTGCAGCAACGTGTACTCGAAGGTGATGGAGGGGCTTTTGCCATTCTGGTTCCACACCTAGGGAAGGAGAAGAAGTGAGACCTGGCTCCTTTCCTCACCCCTACTTAGCACCAAAAGCCTCTTGAGACACAGGCATCCCTGGTTACAGCTGAGTCTTTCTCAAGGGATCACACTTGATCCAAGAATGTGGCCTCATGCAAATGTCCTAGGGCAGCCGTGGCCAGAGTCTATGAATGAGGCACACCAAAAGGGGCAGAGGGGAATGACACCTTGGGGACAGGGAATAGCGGACACACTTATGTCACTGCCATCACAGGCCAGAAATCCTAATAGCACTGGTCTCACTGCATCTGCCCAGGACTCCTAGGGTAGCTGATGTACTAAAAGCCAGACCACACCTCCATTCAAGACAGCATTGAAGGATCATCTGGTCATGGAGCTCGTGGGGGATAGCCAAGGCCTCTGCAGATACCACAAGCCAGTGTGACCTCTCCCCTAGACAGACTTCAAAGTCTTTGCTCATAGTCACTGCCCTAAGATCTGGAGGCTGGCAGGAGTGGATTTGGCCGAGGGTCTAGCTGTTCATGGGGCCACAGAGATGAAGTACTCAGCACACCAAGGCCCTGGTGCGGGACTGGCTGTTCATGGGGCCACAGAGATGAAGTACTCAGCACACCAAGGCCCTGGAAGGATGGCAACGAATAAACCACAGAAACCAAAGCTGCGCCAAGATAAGCCAGAGTAGGACACCAGGGGAAGAATCGCCACCACTAGGATGACATCTCAAGGGTGACTGGGGACAGGAGCAGAGACTATGGAAGGCATTCCACTGGAGAAAGATGACAAAGAGAACCAATGCCTTTTCAGGCTAACGAGGTGGCTATCAGTGTGGTCAAGAAACTCTGATGCCTAAAGCTTCAGGGCAGAAAAGGTGGAAGAGGGGGACCCCGTGTCACCTTCTCACCCTGCTAGGTCTGCTTCACCAGACAGGGTCAGGCTGGGTCAGTGGGGCCCCACCGCAAAGAAAGATCTGGGTCAGGATGCTTGGAAATGGTAAAATCTCAATTGTCCTGAATGGTCTGGGACTGGGAAGGGACTGTTCTTTCCTCAGCAGTTAATGCTGTCTTAGGAGAGAAGGCATGAAAATCTTCCCTTCCTAACCTTGACCTTCCTCTGGGCCTTACCTTGTCTCTCCTGAGCACCAGACCAAAGGCTTTGGTAAACTCATATCCTTTACCCATCAGGGAAGTCCTAGAGAATAGACTGTTCCTCCTGAGGTCCTCTAGGAGTACTCTCACACTCTGGAATAGCATGCTGGCCTGCTAACGGGGAGCGGGGAGTAAGTAAGGCCCACATAGTGCAGATTAAGAGGACTGATCCAAGGGCAGGAAATTCACTGGGTGACCACTTCTTCCAGAAAGCCCAGAACATTCTGTTCACTTGGGGGTGGCCAAGTGACACCAATGTTGTTTACAGAGACAATGTGGGACACTCTCACATGACAGGGCTTGTGACAAGAGATGTGGCAAGTTCTGGACTCCCCAGAAGCTGTAGAAATGGGCAGGCCCTTATGCTGGGTGGTGGTGGCACACACCTTTAATTCCAGCACTCAGGAGGCAGAGGCAGGTGGATCTCAGTGAGTTCGAAGTCAGCCTGGTCTACAAAGTGAGTTCTAGGACAGCCAAGACTGTTACACAGAGAAACCCTGTCTTGAAAAACCAAAAAAAAAAAAAAAGGCAAGCCCTGAATTAATAAAGGTGAGTAACCAAAAACAGTAACAGTAACAGAGGGGCTGGATAGCTAGCTCAGTAGCTAATTTCTGTGCGAGCATGAGGACATGCATTTAAAACCCCAACACCCATGTAAGAGCTGGTAGTTCTGTAACACCACCATTGGAGCACAGAGATAGGCAGAGTCCTGGAGCTTGCTAGCCAACCAGCCTAAAGGAAGTAATGAGCTTCAGGCTCAGTGAGAGAGCCTGTCTCAAGAGAAAAGCGCTAATGAAGAAGGCACTCGAAGTCTTCCTGTGACCTTCCAATGCATTCATGCCTCCCTTACACACACACACACACACACACACACACACACGCACGCACGCACGCACGCACGCACGCACGCACACACACACGAACACGCACACGCACACGCATGCACGCATGCACACACTCACGCGCATGCACACCTCAATCACAAGGCAGACTCAGTGTCTCAATGGCAG